CTGCTGGAGAGGGTGTGGTGAAAAGGGAACACTTCTGCACTGTTGGTGGGAGTGTAAACTAGTGCAACCTCTGTGGAAAGCAGTGTGGTGATTCCTAAAAGCTCTAAAAATCGATCTTCCATATGACCCCACAATCCCCCTACTGGGAATATACCCTGAAGACTTCTAATCACTCTATTAAAAAGATACCTGCACACGTATGTTTATCGCAGCGTTGTTCACAATAGCAAGAACCTGGAAACAATCATGCTGTCCATCAAAAGAGGACTGGATTAAAAAAATGTGGTACATATACACGATGGAATACTATGCAGCCATAAAAAAGAACAAAATCATGAATTTCGCAGCAACCTGGATGGAACTAGAGTCTATAATACTGAGTGACCTCTCACAGAAACAAAGATCCGAGTATCACATGTTCTCACTCATATAATGGACCTTGAACATCCAATGTAATACTATAAGAAAATGACTGACGGTACTGGGAAACTATGGGGGGGAGGGGGATGGGATTAACGGTCGCAAATATCTGTCTGGGGATGGGGAAACACCTCTTATCAACAGGGAGCCTGAATGAAACGTAATTGTACACCTAATCCTTAACTGTACCCCACAAAATCATAATAAAAAATATTGATTAAAAAAAAAGAAAAGAAAAAAAGAACATAAAAGAAAAAAGAAAACAAGCAAAAAACAAGACAAAGAGATAAGAAAAATAAAAATTTTAAAAAAGAGGAAAACATAGGTGCCAAAAGAAAATAAAGTAATATATTCAAATTGCTAAGGAATTATCATTTCAACTCTGAATTCTAAACTTAGACAAGCTATTATTCAAAAGAGAAGAATTTTCAAACATAAAAACTAGAAAATCTTGCCACTCTCAGAGTACAGTGAAAGAACTTCTAAAGGATATATTTACTTGAGCATAAACCTGGAGAAAGGGTGATCTGATGCTAATATGAAATATTACAAATTTTCACCCTCATGAATGCAAAAATTCCAGGCCTCTTTTTTAGTTACTTGTCTTAGTATCTTCTATGATTGGCTTTGTTACCCATTATAGTTATGTGTCTCTTCTTAGTGTCTTGCTCTTATTAAATTTGGCATAATATCCTTAAAAACTGAAAAATGTACCAATTAAATTTCTGTCACTAAGAATTAGTAATTCGGTCAGTTCCACTAGAAAAAACTATACGGATCATAAATTTGTACCTCAAAAGTGCTTAAGAATACTATTGCTGATGACACAAGGAAAACTTCACTGTCAGGAGTTTATGTGTATGAATAATGTACAGTGTTTTTTTTTTTTGAGTTGGAGTCTCACTCTGTCACCGAGACTAGAGTGCAGTGGCTGCTCCCGGCCACCGCAGCCTCGACCTGCTGGGCTCCGGCGATCCTTCCCCCTCAGCCTTCCAAGTAGCCAGAATTACAGGCATGCACTACCATGCCTGGCTGATTTTTTTATTTATTGTAGAGATGAGGTCTTGCTGCCCAGGCGGGTCTCGAACTCGCGGGCTCAGGCAATCCACTCACCTCAGCCTCCCAAAGGCGCAGGATTACAGGCTGAGCCACCGAGCCCAGCTAATGTATAGTTTCTAATATAAGTTTCTAAAAGGATCTTTCTGAATACGAGTCTTTTTCAGAGGTTCCCTAGACCACCCACATGTTCAGTGATTTACTAGAAAAACTCGTAGGACTCAACATATAGTTACAACTAAGATATAGTAACACAGCAAAGATATACAGCCAGATCAGCAAGGAAAAAATAACCTGTGGATCTGGAGAAGTTCGTGTATAGGCTTCCTGTGCTCTCTGCCTCCCTCACACAGAGCATGCTCTCCCCTCAGCAGCAAAATTGCAGTCACATGTGTGAATTACTTCTGCCCAAGGAAGTTCATTAGAGAGATCCAGCACCCGTTAATTTTACTGAGTTGTACATGTAGGTATCCTCTGCCTAACAACTATCAAAATTCCAAATTCCCAGATGGGCAAAATAGTCTTATCATTTAGAGAGGCTTCATTTCAGTATGTATAGTTACCAGCCAAATTCCCAGATGCCAACCTAGGGCAAACATATTTCTCTTGTAGGCTTATCTAATATAGCAGCCTCAAGCCTGCCATATTAACTCTTTTCTGTACCTAACTTTATAGTTTTAACGATTTTTTCCCATTACCTTCAAAAGCATGTAATTCGATTAAGTTTTTTATTTTAGAAAATGTCAAGTCACTTGGAGAAATAATTAAATCTCTCTTAAAGGAACTCCATTTTAATATTTATAATATCTACAAAAGCCATCTAAGGCTTTGCTTCTTTGAATGATGGATAAATCTGTATTGACTGCCTAGGAGTTCTCAGGTTTCAATAGCATGTACACTTATTATACTCTGCAATCATGATCTTTATGAAAATATATTCATAAGAAAAGATAAAAAGAAAACCTGGATAGCAAAAATGTGTTTTTTTGTGTCGATTTTTAAGTAGACCTTAAGGTTCTAAGGACTAGCATGCAAAAAGCATAGGAGAAACATTATATAACTCAATTCTTTTAAGCTGTCTGTTATCCATGTAGCTTTCTAAAAACAAACCACCCCATCTTTGTCATTTTTCAAAATAATGAGCTATAAAACTATAATGATTACTTGTGGAAACACAAAAAGAAAAAAACTCAATCAGTAATTTTACAGCAGTGTAATTTAGGGAAAATAACTATATGTAAATTAGCTATGCTTAAGCAAACTAGCTTGAGTTATTATTTTGAAGCAAAGTGTACTCAATAAAGTCAACACAGCATCATGATGGGTTTTATCTTTTATGCTTTCTCTCAAAATTTGACTGTGAATTGCTATAACCATGGATGCTTCAAAGCTATATGTATATTGATTGTATATATAGTATATTATTGTATATATTATTATATATATAATATATATTCTGTATGTGTGTGTGTGTGTGTGCATACACACACACACACATATATCCAACTAGATTATATATACATATATCAGGCCAGAAAGTTGTTTGTATATATGTGTGTGTGTGTGTGTGTGTAGAAAATAGACCAGAAAGTTTTATGTAAACAAAATTGAATTTCCCTTACAGTATCTTTGTGAAGAAAAAGAACCTGATACCTAAAATTCGTTTTGAAGGCATATCTGTGATTTAAAAGCACACATGCTATCTCTGTTCCTCTTAGCTAGCAAATCATATGAACATAATTAATACTATTACACCAGTGAACAATTTAGCTTAGTAGACTATCTGACTGAAATCAATGATTTATAATCATTAATTGAAAGCTAGACCACTCAATACAGCTGTAGGTTCTTCCCCAAATGTATTAAACTGTTCAGGTAGTTAGCATAAACAGACAGGTAGGTTTAACAATGTTGGATGTTTAGTTAGGCAGGTATGATGCGAGGCACATAGTTCAAGAGAACAGTTACTATGATGTCCCATGGAAACCAAGTGGAAGGAGAGAAATGCATATACAACAGGATGGTAACATAAATAAAATGAATGTTCAATGAAGATCTGTAAGAATTGATGGCATGGCGAGTATTGGACTATGTAAACCATAGATAGTAGAGGTAGTGGCTGAAGTGTACCTGAAGATATCAAATATATGGTCATGGGAGTGGGAAGCTGAGGAGTAAGGAGGTAAAGATCAATTGAAATGAGAGACTGAAGAGCCATAGTGCTGACATCATTTGCATGAAGATTAGTCACCAATAATAGTGACAGAAGTAGGCATGAGAAGAAAATATTGATCCAAGTGCTGAAATATGGCTTATGTAATAGAATAAACTTCAAGGAAACAAGGGATAGTCATATTTGCCTGCCTACTTCATAAGATTTTGTGAGAATCAAATAAATTATTGTCTGAAAAAGCACAATAAACCCATAAAAATATACAAAGTAGTGTGTGCAAAAGCCCTTAGTTTTACTGATGTCTTGTGCCCCGATTTCTCTGCCTACAAAATAAGGGTAAAGGTAATATCCTCTTCTGCTTCACAGGAGATTAAAAAGTTAAGTGACACATTATATATGAACTTGTTTTGAGGCTTTAGAAATAGAAAACACTTTCTTTTTTTAAAAAACATATTTTTTATTTTAAAATTGTGGGGTACAATTAAGGGTTAGGTAACAAATATGCATTATTCAGTCACCCTTGTTGATAAGGGGTGTCCCCCTATCCCCAGACAGATATTGACTACCGTTAATCCCACCACCCTTGTCCTCCCTGCCCCTGCCCATAGATTCCCATCACTGTCAATACTTTTCTTATAGTATTATGCTAGATGTTCAAGGTCCAGTTACGAGTGAGAACATGTGATACTCAGATCTTTGTTGCTGTGAAAGATCACTCAGTATTGTATACTCTAGTTCCATCCAGGTGGCTGCAAAATTCATGATTTTGTTCTTTTTTATAGCTGCATAGTATTCCATTGTGTATATGTACCACATTTTTTAATCCAGTCCTCTTTTGATGGACAGCATGTTGTACCCCTATCTATCCCCATACACAAAAATTAACTCTAAATGGATCAGAGATCTAAATACAAAACCTCAAACCATAAGAACCTTTAAAAATGCAGGACACACCCTTATGGAAATTGGAACTGGCATCCAATTCCTGAACAAAACCTGAAACACACAAGCCATAAGAGATAAGATAGACAAGTGGGACCTCATTAAACTGACAAGCTTCTGAAAAGCCAAAGAAACCATCAAGAGAGCAGGGAGACAGCCCACAGATTGGGAAAAAGTATTTGCCAACTCCATGTCTGACAAAGGCCTAACACCTTGGATCTACAAGGAACTCAAACGTGATGAAAAGAAAAAAACAACCCCATTACAAAATGGGCAAAAGATATGAACAGACACTTTCTTTAACAGGGCTTGAGAGTCATCATTTAGCTCTTGAGAGTTCTGTTTCATGTTGGTGCTCTGGATCAAACTATGAGTATCAAATAACATTCTTCCCTATCTTTGATTTCAGACATTTCAGCAGTCATCTCTGCAGCACAAATCCAAGAAGAAAAACAAAGGTAAGAAAAGGAAATGAAACCTTTACCTGCTTATTTTGCATTTAGATAATCACCAGCACATTTCACCCATTCCCTCTTGCCTGAGCCCAGTGGGTTTGGAAGAGCTCAACTCCTTAGTCCAACAGCTGCCAAGACCAGCTTCTTCTTCAGTGCAATTATAATACAAGGTACCTTTTACAACAAATGATCTCAACAAATTTTGACATTGGGATTACATATTTCGTATATCACTTATGGGGGAAATATTAAAGATTTTCATATGTTTCTAATCTAATACAGTGTGGAAATAATAATTTTAAGGTTGTTAAGTACTCAGACTTATTTTGGGGATCTCTAGATTAATTCTCTACCTGCATACCTTTTACAAGATTCAAAGAGCATTTTCATCCACTATTATCTTTAGGTCCTATAGCAGGCAAGAGCAAAAGACGAATTTCTTGCAAAGACCTTGGCCGTGGTGACTGTGAAGGCTGGCTTTGGAAAAAGAAAGATGCGAAGAGTTACTTTTCACAGAAATGGAAGAAATACTGGTTTGTCCTAAAGGATGCATCCCTATACTGGTATATTAATGAGGAGGTAAGAGAAAGCACATTTGTTTTCAAATTCGTTCTCTATATTTGAATAAAAGAATCACTGTTTTGAGACTTATATTTTAAAGTCATATAATCACCTTACATCTAGTTCAGGCGACTTCTGTTAGTTATTTTTCAATCCACCCTCTCAAAATGATTGCATTTTGAGGTTCTAGAAAGATAATTGTCTCAATTATTCTAATGCAGCAACATATCTGAAGTACACAGATAAAATATAGTAAAATTCTATATATGTAACTAAAAATACCAATCTAATTTAAACAGTAACTTACCTAAAAAGATTATGGATGCAAATTTGATACAGATTCTTAAATGTCTTGCTTTTGTTCAAAGTTCTACATTTTTTTCTGTCTTTTTTTTTAAGGGTGGTGGGAAGCCCTTTAGTAATTGAAGTAAATTAATATCACCTGAATTTATTTTAGTTTTTATGTTAAAATGAACTACAGTGCAGTAGACTAGTTTTGAAAATTTGCAACTATTCATTTTGCTTTGCCAAACTGGGCAGAGGATGGATGTATGTAAATTATTATTTTCTATTTTTCTTAGAACAACAGATTCAAAGTAATCATATCACAGCTTATCACATGTCTCAACAGATATGCCAATAGTATACCTTATTTGTTGCTGTTCCCTTTACATTTGCTTTAATTCCTTTGCAATAGACATCTATTAGTTCACTTTATTATATTTTTAGTATCTTTTAGCATCACTACTTCTACCTTATTTTATCAAAAAATGTATGTAAGTCCAATGTAGTATGCTGCGTGATAATCTTATTCTACTATGTTAAGACATTCATCAGTTTATATTGAAGATTAATTGTTGAAATATAATTTAACAACATTATTATGCCTATGATTATAGCATACAGTATCTAGAGAAATTTATGTTCCCTAGACAGGCGTTATGCTATGTTATGTTATGCTATGCTATGTTATGTTGTTATATTTAAAAGAGTAAACTCAGGAATCACATCACCTGAGTTACTATGCCTCAGCTTCCTCATCTGTAAAATAGGAGTGATAATAGTGCTTATCTCACAGGGCTATCATATGAATGAAATGAATCAATGCCTAGCACCTACTAAGTGCTCAATAAATATATACCATTAGTAATAGTTTTCTATTTAACATAAATGTCTATATTACTAATTTTAAAGCATTTGGTTGTTTTCTGTACTTTTGATAGTTTTGTGGCAATCACACAATTCCAACATGATCCTCTATTTTGCTAAGTGTGTCTTATTTTAAATGTGGTAAACACACCATAATTTTGCCTATATTTCAATTTAACAGATATATATTAAATACCTTTTATATACCAACCAAGTATTATCGAGATACGGTATCTTTATGCTTCTCTTCATTGTAAGATCACTTGTAAATGCGTCTGCTTTATACTATATTATCTCCTGTCTTTCAAAATTTAAGTGATGAAAAACTGTGGCTCCTTTTTATTGGACTAAGTATCAACCAGTGAGTTATTGTTACTGTGTTACCCTTGTGACTGGGTGAATAATTCTGTAGTATACATTGCAAGAAATAGTTCAATGTGATCTTTTCTTTAGGAGAAATATAAAAATCCCTCATCACAACATTTTGAAGAGATAATTACTACCACAAAAATATTTTAAATTATTCAAAGTTTTAAAATTAGGAACATCAAAGATAGAATAACATAGAAATTAAAGTTCAGAAAAAGTATTTGAAAATATTGTCTTTACTCCAGGATTGTTTGGAAGGAAACGTATTCAAATATTGAAAAAAATTAATACTGCTCTTTTTTATAATACACACATTTCAGTCACTATCACTAGTATCAAATTTCTGTTTTGCATAGAAGCTTAGTGATGAAAGAAATACATACACACACACTATAAAGAATTGAGAGTCTCTTTTTTCCTTTGAGATAGCGGGTGGGGGTGTAACCTCATTTGAACTTGATATATAAGGAGCTATGGATATAGCATAGATCAAATAAAAATTTGGAAGTATAAGTGAGGAGCTTTGTTATGAACAGGAGAAGGGATACAATGATTAAAATGTTCAGCCAAAGATAGTCTTAGCTTAGTTAAGATAACTTGTATCTAATGCAAGATTTGGGATCATTCTTCTGCCTTGTTTTTCCATCCAAAATAAGAGGAGAATTTTATGGATTTTATTCAGTTTTCCAGAAAAAAATGACCTTTTGATCTGTTTTATTTATAAACTCTTGAATACACAAAATGCTTGTGATATAATTAGAAAAAATTAATTCAGGTTTGGTAAGAGATTTGTTGGAGGGAAATTGAATAAATAAGCATCCTGCTTTTATATCTGAACATTAAAACTAATAGAAAATTGTGATTTACAAATGTGGGCTACAGTTATTTTATATGTTATCAAAGCATATATACTTTCTGACCAGAAAATTACTTACAAAATGCTTCACTTTGAGAATTTAAAGAAGTTTTTATTCTCATTTTAATAGAAAAAAGGACTTTTTAAAAGTTCTGTAGATATTTTAATTGGTAGTATTCTAAGAGTTCAGAATATACCTTCAGGTTTGTGGAATACAACAGATAAGAGTGGAATTCTAACCTCTAAAATATCAAATTTAAGGAATTAAATGAACAGATTTATTAGTATAGATACTTCAGACATTTGTTATACAATATTACTAGCTTCAAACTTTTGTATATAATAGCCTAAATGAGAGTGTTGCTTCTTTAGGATGAAAAAGCAGAAGGATTCATCAGTCTGCCTGAATTTAAAATTGATAGAGCCAGTGAATGCCGCAAGAAATAGTAAGTTGAGCAATATTCCATTGTGTATATGTACCACATTTTTTAAATCCAGTCCTTAAGTGGACCTTGAACAACTACCGTAATACTATAAGACAAAGATTGACAGCGGCAGGAAACTATGGGGTGGGGGATAGGGAGGAAAAGGAAGGTGGGATTAACGGTAGTCAGTATCTGTCTGGGGAAAGGGGGGCACACCTCATCAACAAAGGTGCCTGCACAATGAATATTTGTATACCTAACCCTTAACTGTACCCCACAACTTTAAAATAAAAAATATGTATTATAAAATAAAAAATAAATAGTAAGTTGCTTTTATTTGGGGAGAGGGAGAGAAGTGAAAGTGTGTTTTATTTATTTATTTATATACAGCTTTTAAATTATGGGCTTCTCATCTAATGCTTTCAAACTGAGGTAAGAAGAAAGCAGTTTTGTGGGCAGAAAATTGAATTGTTTACTGATTTCTGTCATCATGGTAGAAGCATTATATATGTGATCTCAGGTTAGATGTTGAGGTAATTTTACCCATAAAAATCATTTGGCTCAAACTTATTTCCCAATTTATAATAAAATAAATGTAATTTCTTTCTTTCTTTCGTTTTTGTTGCAGTGCATTCAAAGCCTGTCATCCTAAAATCAAAAGCTTTTATTTTGCTGCTGAACATCTTGATGATATGAACAGGTAATGTATTACTTAAATTTTGAAGTATGCAGGGAGTCAATTTGGACTGGAATTCTAAGTTTCTTACAGTAAAGCTTAGAGAATAATGTCACTGAAGTTTCTAGATCAATCAGTTTAAAATAATATGAACCCTGCTATAGCTCCATGTAGCCTTACCTAATTTTAAAGAACAGCATTTAAATAGTAAAAATAAACTTGACTGTCAAGTTTACTAAAAAGGTGCTGGAATTCATATATAGACTCAAAAAAATCTGCCACAGAAAATGGATTTTTAAGTTCATTTTAAGTATATGTCTTAAAATGTATTCCCAAATGGGGAAAAAAGATGTCCACAAAAAAAGCTGACTTTTTCAAGTGCTGAGTATTTCTGACAGAATATCCATCTCAATAATTCTGGCCTGAGCAAAGTTAGTATTTCTTTCTGTCACCTTTTATCTATCACCTGACAGGACCATGCAGCAGCCAACTGAGTAGATGGCTCCATGGTTACTTGGTGGCTCAGGAAAAACATACGTGTGTGTGTGTGTGTGTGTGTGTGTGTGTGTGTGTGTGTGTGTGTGTGTGTGTGTGTGTATGTGTGTGTGATTTATATATTTTTATATATTTATATATATAAATCATCTACCATATTCTGCTTTAGGTTTCTGCTTTAACTTTTAAGAGTTTTATGCTTTCTTCCTCTTTCTTTCCCCTTTTCCCTTTTCCCTTTTCTAGAATGGTAGAAATTGGGTTTAGGATTCCATTTTTTCCCTTTTCTATAACTTTCAGTTGCCAGTGCATATTACATATACAACCTGCCTATAATTGGGGAGAGATAGTATAGTGGTCAGGAGCATGAACTTTAGAACCAGACTGTTTAAATCCCTGATCTACCACTTACCAATTATGTGACCTTGGACAAAGAACTTGATCTCTTCATTCCTGACATTGTCCAGTCTATATGATGAATGGGTGGGGATAATAGCCATTTCTGATCCAACTCTACTACTTACTAGCTATGAGACCTTGAGCAAGAAACAATGTCTCTATGCTAGGTTATTGTCCCTTTTATAAAGTGGAAATAATAATGATCCCTATTGGTTAGGGCTTTTGTAAGGAGTAAATAAGAAGGGCTTAGAACAATACCTGCTAAATTAAAAGCGCTATAACTGATTGCTATCAGTATATATTTCTTTTATGTACTTTGGGTTCTTATCCAGATATTTTTAAGCACAAATTGTGTGACTGCAAAAATGTGCTTGAACACACTAAATGATAATGTTCTTCTATAAATGATCTTGTTCTTTGACACTTGGGAGTATAAGCATGGTCATTCCAAATCAAGGATATGAATACAAGGAAATGGCAAAGAAAGAAGGTGTTAAGAACACTTGATTAAATCTTTTATTATTAATAAAGAGCTGGGCCTTTCATGTGGTTTCCATAATCTTCTCTTGACTTACATAACTTACCACTCTTGAAATTTCACACTAGGCAATCAGAATTTGGAGAGCTTGTGCTCAAAATGAAAATGTTTATTCACATACACATGGAAGGGGAAAGGTGTGACACTCTATTTTGTGTTTTAATTATTCTGTAATTCTGCTGTTCTACTTACTCACTATCCAATTTACCCCATGTTAAGCCTAATGCCCTTGAGATAAATATGAAGAGTTTTCATCGTGACCAAACTGGAAATAAATGGCATACATGAGCATATCTTACAAAATGGATACATTAGAACCCTGTCAACTCTAAGAATCAACACAATTTAATCAATCCTGATACATGCTAATTGGGATCTTTTTAAGCTTAGAAATAGTCTGTTTAAAAATGCATTTTTATGAACGATAAAACCCTTCTTGACCTCCATTCCTTGCTCCATGATAACAATATCTTCAAAAGAATGCTGATATCACTGCTGTTCCCTAATACTCCTATGGATGTGTGTGGTTCCAGATATCGCAGAATCTAAACCAAACCCATGTGGTTCATTTTGTTGTTTTTTCTGAGCAATAGGTCAAAGATAAAAATGAATCTGATAAAAAATGGCATCTCTACATTACACATTTAAGAGTGCTGTTTTATGAAAGGCCTGACATAGTATAGTACAACTTTCAGAATTAAATTGTTCCAAAATACTGAATTGTTTTTTAAATTTAATTATAATGGATTTGTATTGTTCTGCTTTGCATTTTTAAAAAATAATTCTATTACTAATAGAATTTTACTTTTAATGTTTACTTTTAATAGGAATGTTTTTGTTTAATTACTTAATAGAAGGTGGGAAATGTCAGTATTGTAAATATTAACAGAGAGCTAATGATGGAGAGAAACACCCACCTACAGCTTTGTTCAATCACCTGATTGTTACATAACAGAAGATGTGGGTATTGGTTTTCTCTACATGTAATCTTTTAAAAGCAGATACCTGGCCGGGCTTGGTGGCTCAGCCTGTAATCCCATACTTTGGGAGGCCGAGGTGAGTGAATTGCCTGAGCCCATGGGTTCGAGACCCGCCTGGGCAACTTGGTGAGACCTCATCTCTACAATAAATCAAAAAAATTAGCCGGGTGTGGTAGCGCGCATCTGTAGTTGCAGCTACTTGGAAGGCTGAGGCAGAAGGATCGCCAGAGCCCAGCAAGTAGTAGAGGCTGCGGTGGCCGGAAGAGGCCACTGCACTCCAGTCTGGGCAACTGAGTGAGACTCCAACTCAATAAATAAATAAATAAATAATAAAAATAAAAGCAGATACCTAAGTCTTCAAGAAATGATATATTTACAAAATAATTATAAGTAAAGTAAATATATGTGTTGTTTTTGTTTTGTTTGGTTTCTTGGGTTTTTTTTTTGAGTTGGAGTCTCACTCTGTCGCCCAGACTGGAGTGCAGTG